CGTCTGAGTGTGGTACAGGTCGCCTTGCTGATTCCAAATCCGGATACTCAAATTTACGTTTCTTGAAACGATTGATACCTTTCACATTAACCAAACAAAAAAAACAGTCACTGTCGTGATTCTTTTGCTCCCGCCATACCATAGGCACACCAAATTTCTTTGTCCATTTTTCCACTGACGTAGATTTTCGACACACGTTTTACATACAATATGGGGAGCCCAAGACTTATCTTGGTCTCCGAGTTTCATTCCAAAGTATGCCAGATATGCTTGCTTCACAAAGTTAGTAATATTTCTTCTTTGGCTCTCCTGGCAATATTCACCACAGATGTGGCAGAATGCATTGGGGTTATTCAAACATCCTCTTCGTGAAGAACTCATTGTGTTCTAAAAACAGGAAAAAGTATATATATATATATATATATATATATATATATATATATATATATATATATATATATATATATATATATATATATATATATAAAGGTATGCCCTTTAAAAAGAAATAAAACTATTTTACTGTAAAATATGCATGAACGAAGATATTTGTATAAGAATATATCTGGAACACCCTGTATCTCAAGAACTAGAGCCAATAGTGGAAAACTAATGTCATTTCTGAAATCAGCACACCCGATATACTATAAATTCGTAAAAATATCCTCGGCAGCAAAAAAAAAATTTTTTTTTGTTGGCCAGTGTTATTAAAGCTTAACTTTTTTTAGGAAAAGCTAGTAGAGAAGACAAATAAAAAGAGAAAACAAAAGATTTCAAAAAATATTATCGATGATAAACTCCCCCCCTCCCCACAGTTTTTTTTTTTTCACACTTTTCTATAGCATAAATATGATAAGAACCTATTTTATATGGTTCTTATCATGATATAAACCTATTATATATGGTAAATAACTTTTCTTCCTCTCGGAATCGAAAATCAAAACATCGCGATTTGTGTTATCTTAATGTATTCGGAAGCACTTGCAATTACTATATAACTTTTATAAAGCTAAATTAATGGTAAATATTAAAAAAAAATCTTTACAGCTGTTTTTATTTTAACACAAAATAACTACTAATAAAAGGATGATGCCGAAAGCTAAATTTCTTTATCAGAAGACACCCCTGATTGCTCTGAAGACATCCCTGATTGCTCTGAAGATTTCTCCTCTGTGTCAATAATATTAGTAAAATTAGAAAGTTCAGCTGGAAGTAGCATCTCCAAGGTTTCTTTTAAGAATGGTTTAGTATTTTTTCTTGGTAATTTTCTCATGCCAGGTAAAATAGGATCTGAACTAATTAGTAATCTATTAAAAACGTCGAGGTTGCAAGACACTCTGGAAAATTTTCTAGCATTGTTTTGACGGTAAAGACGAAAATATTTATTTTGTGCTTCAGCTGCTTCTTCAGATAGCTGACCAATAGGAAGCAAAGCATGCTCTATTACAATAAAACCATGAATAACGATTTTATGCATTGTAGGAGTCATCGGATACCATTGGTATAACTGGACATATAATTCCGCAGTTTTTACAGTATATCTTCTAAATTTTTCGACATCTTTTTTATGTTCACTAGATATTTTTTCTAATATTACTTTAAGGCGATATATTAGGTTATAATCTATACACAATATTTCAGCTGCCAACTCTGGGTCTGCAAAAAATCGTCAGCTAGAAATGCCATCATTTGAGTTACCAAATCCAGGCTTAGGTACGTCTACAATTAAACCTATTTTTTTTCTAAAATTTGATTGTATTTCAAGTTTTTTTTGTTTGACAATTAATTTTTCATTTTCTGATCTCGCTTGCCATTTTTAAATAGGTAATTTATAAGATAGATGCAGTAAATTTTCAAATATTCGGATCCTGGCATGCAAAATTGATAACCCAAACTTCAGTGTATCTGGTTTGACATCTTTTTCAGTAGTCAAGTTATTTATCTTTTGATGTTGCATCACAAATATAGCATCTTATAGTTAAGTTGTTTTAGTGGCTGCGTTACACACCATAGCATCTACCATAGTGAGCATCATATTATGTTTAACTTAAAATAAATTTCCACCCACTGTCAATTTTGTATCATTCAAAGAGATAATTGTATTTTCAATAAGTTTTATCTCTTCATTTTTTATATCATTAGATTCTTTGATAAATCTAATTCTTATAGGGCAACAATAACGTGGCGAAGAAAGAGTTGGATTTTGCCAGATCAATCTGTTGTTTTTAGTACAAGTTAACTGAAGCGGTACAAAAGAACTCTGAAATATACTTGCATCAGAATCGGCGTCATTCAGAAATTCTGTTTATATTGATTTTGCTGTGATCCGTCACAGCCCCATTTACAATTTAATATTAATGAACTTCTTTCTTTTTCGTTTAAATTTTGTACCACTTCTTCTGGATACATGACCAATCGTGTAACGGTATGGTCCAATAAATCTTGTAAATTGACTGCGATACAAGTTTCAGTGACAAAATAAGATTCCTTATTTGGATGACAATCTACTTTTGCCTTTTGCAAGATACTATAGCAAGGATATAATGTTTTACAAGAACTTCTAACAACTTCATATTGTCTTCTGGAAAGACCAGCTTCTACAAACATGGCCAGTGCACTTAATACCGGTAGCTGTGATTTTTTTTCCTGTAAAACGCTAGAGTATGCTTATACATTTTTGCCCGCTTTGGGGAGTGGATAATGTCTTTTAAAATTTTTGAAGCAGTTCTTTTTCCAGTAACACCTAATTCCATCTGAGCAGCACAAATCAATGTTTCTGAACTAGTGGTAGCACGTATGTTTTCTGTTTTTCTTCTTTTGCTTCTCTCGCTTAATTCTTTATAATTCTTCGTTGGCGTACCCTCTTGATCCAGTACTGCAGGTATTGCAATAATTCCATCTAGCCAATCACTGTTTTTTTTTAAAACAAGTTTTTATCCCTCTTTGCTACTGACCATCTTTGTTTTAACTCGTAACTAAATTGCGATAAATTTTGTTTTACTTCTTTTATTTGTTCGTCTGAGTAATTATCTTTTGCTAATACCTAATGTTCTAAAAATTATAATTTCTCATTTAACAATTTTACGAATTTTACTATATATATATATATATATATATATATATATATATATATATATATATATATATAGTAAAATTCGTAAAATTGTTAAAGACTTCAGAAAGTCCCCATTCAGAAATGATGACAATCTTCAACCTTTAAATATTCAGTCCTTTAGATAGCTTTATTTTTAGATTGTAAAACGCGATAAAATAGCATTATTAAAATGCTACGAAGATTTTGTGAAGTTCGCAAAGAAGTAAAAGTAGAAATCTTGCCACGAAAATAAGAGATAGACTGGTACAAAAAACCGAAATTGACTAAATTTACACCCCATAGGTTATTTAATAGCGGCTGTAACATCTAATTAAAAAATTATCCGGGTAAATTTAAAGTTACCCATTACCCGGGTAAATATTTTTGGTTGGGTAATGGAAACACTGGAAAGAGCAAGAGTTTTTAATAAAAGTTATACATTAATTTTATTTGATCATATGTTTTTAATTTTAATTATATATATATATATATATATATATATATATATATATATATATATATATATATATATATATATATATATATATATATATATATATATATATATATATATTATGTTGATTTAAGTGCCCCAAGAAGTCCTTACGGTCTTATCACAGAGCACCGCGGAAGAGCATTTAATAGGAAGTTCACGCCTCCTTCCCAACCGATGTCGCAAAATCGCAGACAAGCAATAATTTTGAGTTTTTTTTTAGTAAAATGCAGAAAAAGAGAGTTTTAAAAGGAAAACATTGCAAAGAGAATAACTACACAAGCAAACAGCTACTATACCAAAGACAATATAAAAATTACTAAACTACAGTTATAAGCTTAAACTTAATTAACTTTTCCTTTTTTTTTTGAGGATCCCGAAATCCCGGAGACTAATCCCGAGATTTCGTCATGAACAGTTTGTACGAATTCCCGGGATTACCATCCCTAGTTTTCTATTGGTAAGATAATTTTTAATCGAATTGTAAGTTTAATTATTATACCATAGTGTTTTAGTTTATCTAATAGAATGCAGTGATCAACTTTATCAAATGCTTTGATAAGTCAATAAAAACGTTATTTGTTACTGCAGGATTAGTAGCTTATTAAAACTTCGAAAAGTTATTTTTCCAATGCCTCATTTAAAGTTAATGTAATGCTTACATAAACTTATTTTTAACGGCACATTCTTTTAAAAATCTAAAAAAAAACGACGTTTTTAAGATAGTTTATTTAAGGTTTTTTCTTTTTTTCACCAAAATTCTTTTGCAACTTTCAGCATCAGCTTGAAGCAACAAATTGCTTGTGCTTATTGCGTATGTATTTATCTATGTATTATTTATTTGAACTATATTGAAACATTTTAAAGTTTAAAATTATTTTTTGCAGGCATTAACCATCAGATAATATGCATCTATATAAGATAGTATGCACCTACATAAGATAGTATGCACCTACATAAGATAGTATGCACCTACATAAGATAGTATGCATCTACATAAGATAGTATACGTCTACATAAGATAGTATGCACCTACATAAGATAGTATGTACCTACATAAGATAGTATGCATCTATATAAGATAGTATGCACCTACATAAGATAGTATGCACCTACATAAGATAGTATGCACCTACATAAGATAATATGCACCTACATAAGATAGTATGCATCTACATAAGATAGTATGCACCTACATAAGATAGTATGCATCTACGTAAGATAGTATGCATCTACATAAGATAGTATGCATCTACATAAGATAGTATGCATCTACATAAGATAGTATGCATCTACATAAGATAGTATGCATCTACATAAGATAGTATGCACCTACATAAGATAGTATGCACCTACATAATACAGTATGCATCTACATAAGATAAGGTATGTAAGGTTAAAAAAAACAACAAGTAAATTGTTTATTTACTTTTCAAAATCTTACAAAAAATACGTACTATGTTTGCGTCTTATGAGATATCGAGCTAAATATCAATGTTTGAGGCTCAAATGAAACGTTCAATCCTAACTGACATGAATATAGAAACGTTCGATTCGTTTTTTATATATCGTCGCGTACTCTCTTGGTTCACCGTCATTGAATTTTTCCATCAAAAGGATCATTCAACTGCATCAACTTTGCGTCTAAAAAAAAACTCTAATTAGCTGGAAATTTTTTGAATTTCTACTCTTAGATACAAGATACTCTAAATAGAGGGGAAAAAAAAGGGCAGAGGGTGAGTTTTTCTTGCAACCTTTTTTTTTTTTCGTATTATATTAAAAAAATATGTATATATCTTTCGCAAATAGTACTTCCGTTATTTAGATTTTTGTAAGTTGTACTTATAAGAGTTAGCACTTAACTATATATTAAAATGTTTAAAGGTATTTACTAATTTTGTAAATAAATCTAACATTGAAAAAATTCAATTTATCAAATCTATCATTAAAACCCTCAAGAAATATAAAGCAAAAAATTATGAACAGTGAAAACTGTTTGAATTTTCTGTCAAACAAATACATAAATGTACAAATAAACCTAAATTCTATAAATTTAAAATGAGTCATCATTTAATGCCTACAAACCTTCTACATTTTTATGTTTAAAATTCAAAAAAAAGTTAAATATATATATATATATACATATATATATATATATATATATATATATATATATATATATATATATATATATATATATATATATATATATATATATATATATATATATATATATATATATATATATATATATATATAAATATATAAAATATATATATATATTTATGTTTATTCCAAAATTATATCATCCCAAAACTTTAAAACTTCTGTATAGGCAAGTATAAACTTTCACTTGCTAAATTTGTGTCTAAAGTTACATAAACTATACAACTGCTTTGATTGGTTCTAAGAAAAGACTTGTTAACAAATAGAATGAAAAGGTAAACAATTTTTATTGTATCATTTACTAAGAAGTGTTATCGGCTATTCCACGTTGTCACGGCGTGACATTCAACTTTTTTTTTTGGGAAAAACATCAGATTTTAGCGCATTTAAAATTAAAAATTTAAAAACAAAGATACTGAAAATTTTTTATATACATTACAGTTTTTAAAAACAAAATTATTTAGTTTTAATATTTTATAGACTTTTAGGTATACGCATTAAAAGGTTGAGCCACGATGTGACAAAATTATCTAGCATTTTCCGTCATTAGAAGAAATGACAGTAGTTCAGCTCTTGTGGATAATTTGAAATATTTTTTTGTTATGTCTTGGATACTTAAAAAGTGTTATAATAGTTTCATAACATTTTAAAAATGTTTTATAAATTTAAATGGAGACACCACATAAATAGAGTTTACGTCACACCGTGACGTTGTGACCAGTTCAAAATCTTTGAATATTAAGACAATAACATCATCAAAAAGACAGTTAAAACAAAACAAAAAAATTATTCGGGTTTTTATAAGATTGGTATAACAATAACGTTTGACAAAACAATAATTTCAAAAAAAGTCTTTTAAAATTCAACTACGTTTTTTTAATAAATTTTAACAAGTTAACTAAGTATGATGCACTTGAATAAGGTTTCATTTCCATTTTATCATAAAACTATTTTAAGCAAAGGGCACTAAATATTCAAGGCGTTTTACAAGCACTATTAATGATGTTTCTAAGTTCTGTGTCATCAAAAGCAGTTTTAATTTTTTCAGCAGCAACCATGAAAACGTTTACTTGACTTTCATCTCTGACGGCTTCATAAAATGCTGTTGCGTTATTAATCAGAGCTTCTCTTCGAACAATTTTTTGTGTTGCTAATCATTTTACAGTTGCTCCTATACCATTGCATGGTCCTTTACCATGAGAGGTTGCAAAGTAATTCCAGCAAATTTTAATTTCGTAATTGCTTTCAAGCCATGGAATTAAAGCTACTATGTAACAATTTTTAAATTGACTGCTAGGACCGTCAGACCAAACTTGCAAGTATTTTTCATCCTTTCTAATAAGGTTAGTTATTAACAACTCAATAAAATAAATAACTGAACTTCTTGAATGGTTCAAATCATCAGAAATAATAACGGCAGATTTACAAGAGTCACCATGGCAGCTAACAGCAGTTAATAATAATGTTACTAATTTTTTGTTCCAATGTGCTGACTGAACTTTATCCTGCCAGAAAGTTGAGAAGTTTTCTGCAAAGTCAACTTGTAACAAAACTGAATCGAGATTGCTTTTAAAACTTTTTTTTGGTTTTCATAACTCATTGATTGTTTTCCTTATATAAAATAATGCAAAAGAAATTTGGGTAGCATTTTGCAAACATTGTTATACCAAATTATGGCTGTCTTTTTTTATTGCTTTTTCGAGGTACTTAGTTCCATTAAGTTGCGTAACTCTCTCCCAAAGGTACCAGGTAATTTCTTTGTGTTTTTTTTCATCTAATTGGTATGTTTTGAGAAATAACTTTCTGTTCTTACAAACTTAACAAAGATTATTCCAACAATTATAAATTTGGGAATTTTTAAATCGAATAAATTTGGGAATTTTTAAATCGATATTAATTTTTAAGCGAATAAATTTGGGAATTTTTAAATTGATGAAATGTAATGCTTTGAGTGACAAGATAATGTTTTCATGTTTTTGACATGAAAAAACATTTCTAGGCATTAAGCTTGATAAAAGTATATGGCCTGGTCTCAAAATAGCAAACTTGGATTTACTGTTTGAAAAATCAGTGTGTTCGTTTTTAAATATTTGATATGCTTCACTTATACTCATTGTTAAATACCTTTTTAGAATTTTCTTTTTTTCTTTATTACTTCTTAAAACAATCATATCTCTTACTCCAGGTACCTGATGGGATATACCATCTTGTTCAAAAAAACTAATGACGCATAGCTTCCTTTCATGATTAAAAGCATTAGGTCCATGTGCTGGTTGCATATCTGGTAAATTCCCGTTAAACTGAATTGCAAGTTGTTTAATAAGAGTTGCTTTTTTAAGAATATAAGTGGGAAGAGTACGTATTGCTTTTTTAACAGCCAACCAAGTGTACAAGATGATTTAAAAGCAGGAGAGATGTTAGATGTTATTTTAGATGAAGAAACTCTACTCTTTTTTTTTCTTAACTTGTCCTTTAAATTCAACATTAGAATTTCATTTTTCCTTTTTCCATATCAAGTGTTTTTCCTTTATAAAATCCGGACCAAATTTTTGCATTTGTCTTTCTCTATACTTTCTCTGGTGTTTAGCAGTGTCAGAGGCATTTTCATTACTTTCAACGAAGAAATAAACAATTTGATTGTGAAAGTTTACTTTTTATAAGAATTGTATAAACAATAAACATTCAAAATAACTTCAGCAATGGCGCGACAAAATTTAAGAAAAACTAAATAACAAAGGTGTTAATAATATGTCTACATATTTACAGGTACACCTACAAGTTTAATTTTTAAAAATTAGTCTTTGAATAATTTAATTTAAAAAAATGTCACACCGCGTGTCATCACAACGTGACATAAACTTAAGACACATAACACAATACTGAAAATATTCAAATTTAAATATCTATTGATATTTATTGCCTTATTTTAGTTACAAGTAATTTATAAATATTTATTTAAAATAAATAAATATTCTTATGCTAGAATGAAAATTGTTTCTATTAGTGTCACGTTGTGACATGTCACAGCATGACAAACTTAAAGAAGACCAAATAGAAATTTCTCAATGAAAGAATATTTAACTATTACAATAAATTTTTAATTTGAAAAGCAAGAGCCCCATCTATATTTTGCGTGAGACAAATCTACATAGAAATTTAAAAAAGTTTCAAAAAAAAACGTTTCAAAATGATTTACTAGAATAATAATTTAAAGTCTAAAAAATTTTGTTTAAAGTTTAAGCATCAAATCCTAAAATTCTTCGAAAACCAGTTCTACATGTTACATGTTTTTAGAAACTACAAACCTTTAACTTTTGAATGATACATTTAATTTTTTATTTTCTAGGATTTGAAATTTATATTAAACTTTTTTGTACAGCGTGGAATAGCCCTTATGCAGGAAAAAAATCTATATTATGCGATTAAAAAAATCAAATTTATCGTCAACATAAGAGCAAGTGGACTAAATGATTGCATCAATAGTAAATGAAATTGATATTGAACTTAATCAAAATGTTTCGGTAAAAGTTACCTTTTCTAATTGATACCATAATTCAAACTCAACCTTTGTAAAAGGACAGTTTGGAGTAAATATGCCATATCAAAGGGTTAAAAAATTTTTGAAATATGTCACTTATGTTAATACTTTTAACTTAAAATATCTCAATGGGCACAAAAAATTTTTTAGATGTAAAAACATCCTACGGACTTGTAACAAGGAGTCAGGATTTTAACTTTTCATAATATTTTTGGTTTTATAATGTAAAAAAAAAGAAAAAGATTTAATTTGACTGTTTAATTGAGTTGCTTAGTTAAACATTAAGAAAACCAGGAGCTTGAAAACAAATAATAAAGAAAAATAACTTAAAGTTATTTTTCTTTATTACTTGTTTAGCAAAGCTATTTAAATAATTTGTTTATTTAAATAAGTATTTTGCACTTAAATTATTATTTGTAAAAAGCTTTTTGAAAGCAATTCTTAAAATCATAGGCAGTTTTGTTTACCTTTTGGATTCACTTTGCTCTGGTATAGAGTCTGCTGTAGATTCTTCTGATTCAGAATCGGATTCTTCAGAAGAAGAAGAGCTACTGCTACTTGATGAATCAGAGCTACTATCTGATGCTAACCCACTCTGTCGCAGTAAATCAACTTCAGCAGCGATTCTAGCAATCTCTGGTCGATATATCTATAAAAAAAAAAAAAATATTTCATAAACAGGATGCGCCATATAGTATAAAAAAGTTTAAAAGTCCTAATAAGTAAAAAATTAGCTAAAAAATGTCCAAAAAAAATACACAAGAATTATACAATATTAAGTAAAAAATATTTAATAAACAAAATAAAAGACAAGAATTACAAAAGTTCAATATTGTTCAATAAATATATGTGTAAATATAATAAAAAAATAATAGTGAAACAAAATGTAATGAAAACAAAAATAAAAATGATACTTTTAGAGCTCGTAACCATTTTTGTGAAAGCTTCGGTCTACCTCTTGAAAAATATTTAAAAATTTAAAAAAGCTTGGGTCTACCTCTTGAAAAATAAAAATAAGAAACACATACTTATAAAATATTTAATAAATATAAGAACATACTTTACATAATTAAAATCTAAACGAACCTTACTGTTTTGTGCCAAACAACATGAAAATTTGTTGGCGAAGAAAAGTTTTGAGTGACAGCCACAGTTTGATCTAGGTTTAAAACAACATGCCACCACCCACCAGGTACAAAAACTGTTTCTCCAGGGTGCTGAATTATTTCTAACTTAAAAACACACAAAAAAAATACAGTGTTATAAACACAAGAAACCAATAAATATAAAAAATACAGTGTTATAAACACAAGAAACTAATACAATTAATATAAACAAGTTTTCACAATTTTTTCTCCAGATATTTAGAACTCAAATTTTAATTGCTCTAACAATAATTATGATTGAATTCATTTCTGAACATTTAAAAAAAATGAAGATGAAGAAACTTTTGAAGGTATTATGCAAAGTAAACAACAAAGTAACAAAGTAATACTGTTGAATGCCATAAAATGAAAATAAAAACCATAATGAAAGTTCTGTTATTTAAACATTTGAAACAAAAAAATATATTTACATTTTTGTTTATTTATTTTAATAGAAAAAGTACAAAGAATGTGTGTGTGTGTACAATATAATATATACACATATATATATATATATAGTACAATAGTATATATATATATATATATATATATATATATATATATATATATATATATATATATATATATATATATATATATATATATCAGTGACGAATCCAGAGTTTTTTTGGGCATACCGGTTTGTCTGTATTTGAAGGACCTTTTTTTTTTTTTTTTTATAATTAGTAATCTTGGCGTCAACATCCATTTGCTGCTTATTTTTCTTTATGCTTTTTATTCGCATAAAATAATTTTACTTATGTAAATAATGAGATCCAATTTATATACTTACTACTCCCGCGAGAAAAGCTTTATAACTTCAACATTTAGTAAACAATAGATTTATATATTGATATTTTTCTTATAAATAAACTAACAAGATTTACTTAAAGGATATTAGAAAGGATTGACATTTCATAAGTCAATTCGTCTCTCACCAGAGTCTCGATAAATGTCAGTCAGCTCTTCATATGTTTGGTATGTTAAATTTCCTGGTCCAACCAAAGAAATTCACATAAGGCAATCAAGTGCTATTATACTAAGGCGATTTCTTTGTTTTGAATGTATTAAGTTTAGCATGGAAAACCCTATTTCAACATTCGCCGTGCTAGGTGGTAGGTGGCATGAGTAGTGACAATTTAAATAACTTCATTATATCATAGTACTGCTCACACGCATCGGTACGGAAAACAGTATAAATAGCATCACTTGTTATCGGGTGTTTTTTGCTTATAAATATTGATGTTATTACTCTTTAATTTGCCTTCTTTTACTAAAACTTGAATTTTTAGGTTCCTTTTCATTTCAAGGTTACATAAGATTTTTCTATAATCAGAGAGAAAATGATGGATATCGTCTTCATTATCTTGAATAGGATTAAACAATGGTGGTGCAATAATATTTTCGCCTTCGATGACAGCAGGTTTTGCATGGCCATAAAATTGTGAAAGTTTACTAATGTTAGCTGAAAATTTGTTGGGATCTTAATTTTCACCAGTTGCATTAAATGCATCAAACGCCAAAAATACATCGTCATTAATTAAAGGTCTAATTTTAAGTTTATCTTTAAGTAGACTAGGTTTAGCGTTTGTAAAAACTTTGCAAATTTATTTATTGGTACTAAAACATCAGCCAGTAAAAGCAAATATAGTATATTATCAGGAACAAGTAATTGATATGTTAGACCTTCCAACTCCGCATCGTACTTCTCATTAACAATCATCATCAAGGCTGTTTATAACTTGTTCAAATCTTGAAACAAGTCATTCTGAAGAAGCGCCATGAGATAACCAGCGCGTTGGAGCAGCTTTAAGTAACTTCGCTGGTTTTAAAACGTCAGCATTTTGCGCTGCATCAAATATTGAGGCCTTTATGCTAGAATATTTCATGGCTTTCCAAACTCCCAAGATATTTGCATCAACGTTAACTAGGACATCAAATTCTTTCATTAAGTGTACACACACAAGAGCTAAACAATGACAACGACAGTTAATGTACATTGAGTGGGGAGAAATTTTTTTTAGCTTAGCTTGTAAACCATTTCGCACCCCACTCATTGTGTTAGTTCCATCAAAGCCATGGAAGCGCAGTTGCTGGATATCTATCGATTTAGATTTTAAAAGTAGTTGTATTTGTTCACATAAAGTTTGCGCATCCTTTCTTCCAATAACTTGGACTAAATTAAGAAATATTTCTTTAATAGTACGAGAATCAGAATCAACATATCTAATGAAAACAGAAAAGACAGTCCTATCTGCCACGTCACTCGTCACATAAGCAAGAACACTAAAGACAAAATAATTTTTACGTGTATGTCGCTCGTTTGCTAGCAATTTTAAAGTGTGAATCTATCTCCTTATCGCCAAGATCTCGAATAAATTCAACAATATAACTAAAGTTTTCCCAGACTGCCAAGTTCATTTTAATTACAAAATAAACAGTTTTAAAAAACTTTTTTATGACGTTACGGTTGCGCTGTTTACCCGCAATTCTGTATAGCGAACTACCATCAACCATCTGATTGTATACAGTTCCTTTGGTTGAAAGTATTTTTTTGACCTGTCGACGTTTTTCGGCAGCATCCTGGTGTCTCTTTGAATTTTGATGTGCAGTAAATGTCCTTTGTGGATGTTCAAAAAGCTTCGCGCCTTTAGTTCTCCACACTTCTCCAATATCCCCATATTCTTTACAAATACTACATAACCAACCTTGATCCTTTGCAGAATAAATAGCAAATGAAAATATTGTTTCCCATTTTTGTTGAGATTGGTCACACATCATATACATACGTCCATCTAGTAAATGTTCGTTGATATTAGGGAAAACGCTTTTGTTTGATTCACGCCCGATAATAATTTCGCTTTCGTTTGTTCTTATTTTAGGAATCAACTGCTGATCTTCCACTCCTTGAACTTGTTTTGTATCTTTTGTAGTTTGTTTAACAGTAAATGCTTCAAAAATTGACTTTTGTCCAGAATTTGCATTGTTATTTTTACTGTGGAAAGATCTGTATGTGGACGAATTTTTGTTGTGGCTTCTACAAAATGTCTTTGGTTGACCCATATTACGTAAGCTAAACGTACTATACAAACTCTTGCAAACAAATTTTATTAATTAAAGTTTATTAAAACAAAATGCGTTATAACATTGCAAGGTCGTTAATTTATTCATAACACAGGCATAGGTCACTCATTCATTCAAAAGTTAATAACTTTTTACTTCTTCTCTTAAATCAAGTTTTTTGGCGTTATTATTTTATTACGTTTAAAAAAAGTTTTATTTATTTAATTTATAACTTAAACCAGTTTATTTACATTTTCATTGCGATTTTACTATTATATAAAATGATTAAGTTTAAAGCTTATAGAGTTTAATCGAATTGTAAATTATAGTTATCAAAATGTTAGCGGACGAGAAACATTTTAAGTATATTTTTTTAAGTATATTTTTTTCAAGTTAATTTTTTTATGAAAGAAATTATAAAAATGCGTTTCTTATTTTAATCCAATCAAAACGTGCATTTTACATTTTAATCCAATAGTAACGTGTCCATATTTCATCTGCGTGAATTTGAATTAGACATTCTGATTTACTTAAATACATTATTAATCTGTTTTTAAAGTCGTTTGCAAATGTTGCCTTTTCTAAACGACATAAAAACAATTTTTTAATTATGACAACAAGTTTTAATATTTTTAATGGATTTGTTTACCAACTAGAGAAACCAATAATAAAAAAAAAAAAAGTACTCAGTATTTACCAACTATAAGTTTGGGCAGAAATTTGGGGGCCCATACAGGTATACCGGTATTAAAATCGGCCTGGATACGTCGCTGTATATATATATATATATATATATATATATATATATATATATATATACAGGGCCTATTCTAGGAAAATATTAGAGCAGCGGTACCGACAAACTTAAGCGGAAAATCAGCGGATTTTTTTTTGGGAAAAAAAAACAATTGCCATAAAAATGTAAAAAAAAAGTAAAAAAAAAAGGTCTAGAATAGCCCCTGATATATATACATATATATATAAATATATATATATATATATATATATATAAATATATATATATATATATATATATATATATATATATATATATATATATATATATATATATATGAGTTAGTCAAAAAAAAAAAAAAATTTAAATCTAAAAAACCATACCCCCTAAATTTGGGGCAAATATATAAAAAATGAGCCTCAAAAAGTTTGAGCGCCATCGGATCACTCTTGACCCCCCCTCAACCCAATAATTTAGGGAAAAAATGACCGAAATGTGATTATTTTCGGCCATTTTGAGGAAGGGGTAATTTTTTTTTTTAATTTTTTTTTTTTTACTATACATATATAGGCCTATATTTTTGTTTAAAAGTGTATGGTTTTTTTACTACCCCTCAAAAGCCTATTTTTGTTAGTACTGAAAATGGTGAAAATTGGTAATTTTTGTAGTTAATGTTAGGTTTATATATCTATATATATATATATATATATATATATATATATATATATATATATATATATATATATATATATATATATATATATATATATATATATATATATATATATATATATATATACATATATACACATACATACATACATACATTCATATATGTGTGTGTATATATGTATATGTATATATATATGAAATAAATAAACACACAGACCCCTTTGACTGTTCCCAAAACATGTCTGAGGGGAAAACCAACTTATGCATGAGGGGGCAAGATTTCTCCCTTATGCATGAGGGGGCAATGAACCGCCAGAAAGTATAAACAGTAGTTGGCTGTAATCACTGCAATGTCAGTTACCTATATTTAAAAAACTGCTATTTATCAGCCTTGAAAAATCAAAATGAGTAAGAAGAAATAAAAAGATAAAACTATATTAGAAATTTTATAATAAAAACAATAACATTTGACAATCTAATCAATTTTCAAGTTTATTTCTTTATCTTTTTGTGGATCACACCAAGCCCATCATTAAATTTACTTTTTGAAATCGTACTGGATTTTCATTTTAATGATCTGAATACAGATCGAACATTGTCTACTGTGATTATTCTG